CCCTAGTGGAGGAAGGCGTGTGGCACCTTGTAAATGGATTATGTTGTTCCATCATAAAGGTGATTGACTGGTCTATGGACAAATAAGGAACATGAAACACGTGGACAGTGTGTTAGCCTGATGGGGGAAAGGAAGAACAGATGACGTCTATCATTGTGCTTTTGATTTGTGTATATGCAATAGTGCACATCGGGTACTGTTGTCTATCTCCAGGGGGTAATCTTATGGCTTGCTTTTAGTGACACCATGTCAGCGTATGTAAAGGAATGTAAAGGAGTATGTAAAGGAGGCAGTTCAACACTTGGCCACTAGATGGCGTAGAGGAGTGTAATTTTCCCATAAAGAGTGGGTGCATTATTGGTTGCGATGTGAGTAATGCAGATAGATGGCGCCATTGCTGCAGACACGTGAATTGTCTTTGTAAAAGATCTATTTTCTCAAAACAAACAAAGACAGGTCCAGTTTGGCCAGAGCACATTGATCACAGTGCACACATAAAAGTCTTGTGCAAGTGCAGCAGGCTCAGAGACACTTTCACTGTGTGCAGGGGGCCCAAAGTGAATCAGTGAATCAGAGTTTGTTGAATAAACTGAAAAGTATCTCAACCTTCTCAATGTCAGATTGTGCCCACAGTAATCACACTGCCAAGTATCTTTTGGGCAACAGGCTAAAACATAAAACGTCATTTCAAAGGAGAAAGAGAAGCTCGAGTCGGGAAAAGGTAAAAAAAAAGGCTCACGCAATCCTGGCCTCTCATTGGTCCAGATTTTCCTTGTGCTGCCACAATACAGCGCACACGTGACCTGGCTGTTTTCACACAGTTAGACGCATGTAGTTAAAGACAGGGCAGCAGCCGCACACAGGAGTCCACAGTGTCTTATCCATGTGAACAGAAGACTGTGTGCGGGACGTGCACACCATGGCGGCTGCCACAAGCAGCACCTCTACTGCGCTGCCATTAAAACACACCGAGCTGCTACGGAAACGCATCGACCCCAGGAGGAGACAAGCCGCGCTCTCTTTTCTCAGTAACATTTCTCTGGACGGACGGCCCGTGCAGGACGATGCAGACAATCCGCCTGAGGAGGAGAGCTGTGTGGAGCCGAGGACTAGACTCAGCCTGGTTTCTCCGGAGCGATGCGTGTCTGTGGCCAGCGCAAACACGCTCTCTCTGACAAACCAGGCGACCCAGGCTCTGCTGGCGAGCAGCCGAGCCGCGCACGGGACGGGTCCCACCTCAGGAGGAGCAGGGGCCCCCGGGGCTGCAGGGGCCCCTGTGTCTGCAGACAACGGCGAGGGAGATGCGTTCCTGCCTGCAGCCTTCAGCTCGCCCTTCTCCGCGGTGCCCACGTCAGCCAGAGGCAGACTGCAGACATACACTCCGGGAATCATGCCTGCAACCTACTCCAGACAGTCCTCCCAGAGCTACAGCCTGGAGGGCGGACAGATAGAGCTGCAGAGATCCAGGTAACAGCGCTGTCCCGGGACGAGCCCCTGCACAGGGCACCAGAGAGAGTGTGCTGCAGGCCAAGTCAAGTCAGGGCCATAAAACTAAAACATAACTTGAAGAATGTGAGGTCCTGTTGTTACAACATGTGTCCACGGTTCAACTTATAAACACCCCCATGTGTAATTACACAAGTGGCAGCATTTAGACTACAACATCAACACAGTCCCACGTGAGAACAAACACTGGGCCGTTTATCTGTGCTCAGTGTTGTCATTTGACAGACCAGTGCTTATTATAGGGACAGTTTGTCTCAGTTTACAGTAGTCTACATTATTCTGGAGCAGTAAATGCATTGGTTGTGCACTGGTAATATTGCACATTACATTGTATCAATGTACAGAATCTAAACATAAGTGTATCACTGCATACGTCTTACTGTTACATAGATTTAGATCTAAACACCGACAGTAAGACCTTGAAAGGCATCATTGACTACGTGGGTCCGTTTTTACACAATCTTTAGACAATAACTCGATTATAAACTAAGACATTAACTGGAGTAACTGCTTTGTTCTACAACTTTTTTCCGTCCCTTGACTTTCCTGTTTTTGTGTATTTTGGTCCTGTTTTTGCACAGTAAGCACAAATATGCCTTTGTTTGTTTCTTACTATTTGCTGTGATATCATGGCCAACAGCTGGCAGCCCTAACCCAGATTCCAATATTCCACTTTCAAGTGTTGTCACTCACTCTACTTGTGCGACATTTAATTAACAGTTCGATTAATTTTGGGAAGCGTTATTCCAAGTACTTTAGATACATTTGTTGTCAGTCAGATGAATACATTGTGAAATCCAACGCTCATACCTGGCCACATAAAAACTACAGCCTGCATTTTGGAGTATAGAGAGTCCAGTAAAGATGTCAGCAGCAGTTGTACCTTGGTCCTCTTACTGTCTGGACCGGCTGCCGTCGCTCTGTTAACATTCAAGTCCAGTTTTTCATCTTGTCCTTGTCCTCCAAAGACAGCTTTCAAAATCAAACATTAGTAGTCAATTTTCCTACTTCTGCATAAAGTATGTTACACCAACAAAGGTTGATCATAGACAGTTATCATTTCACCTGAATCTAGAAACTGAAACAGAATAGTGATGTCACAATACAATATTTCGAAACAGATTTTGACCCTAACCCTAACCACAAACATTGCTAATACTAGATACCAATTTCAAGCAGAGCAATCTTTTATTTGTCCCACACTGAAGACATTTCAGGGTTGCATCATAAGTTACAGAACAGTAGAAATGAGGAGCACACATGACACATGACAAGTGAATATTGGGCACAACTCTTTTTTTAAAACAATAAGAATAATATAGACTATCTTTATCTTAATAAAGAAACATAGTATAAAAAGTTATTTATATGTTTTTCTGATTTTGTTTTAAATGTATCAAGAAATGCTAAGTAAATGTCAAATTCAGTCTTGTTTATGTAATATTTTTGGATTTGATTCTAGTTTTAGTACTCCATACACTTTAACAGCCCTACCAAAGAATGAACCGTGCAATCTTGTTTCTAATCACTATGATATTAAAATGATTCCATTTCCGTGTTACTGGCCTGAAGTTAGAAATAATCAATATACATTTATTTATTATTTGTAGTGACCTATTTTTGACCAGAAAAGTCCCACTCAGATTTCAGAATCTCTGTTTCAGGGGAGTCCTGGCCCCAGAGAGAGGGAAGAAAGGTTTTTATGTTTTTGGTTATTTTAAATCAAAATTAGAATACTTTTTTTGGGGCATTAAAGGTTTTATACAAGTTATCCCGATATAGTTTATAATGTTCCAAGAAATGGAACATTTTGTACGGTTTATGTAATTATTTTAGTATTGATACTTTAACCAGTTAAACAGATTAATAATTCCTAACTGATGATTAAGATAGTAGAAGTGAATTTAGTAATTGATTAATCCTGTTTTGAGTCTTACAAGACAGAAACACGTGAGAAGAGCTTTTGACTCAGATATGGGAAAACATCACATCAGCTTGGGTTTGGTCAAATGTTAAACAAATCCCATATGCACCAGTAGTAGTAGTTGTAGTTGTAGTAGTAGTTGTAGTTGTAGTTGTAGTTGTAGTAGTAGTAGTAGTTGTTGTAGTTGTAGTTGTAGTTGTAGTTGTAGTGGTAGTAGTAGTTGTAGTTGTAGTAGTAGTTGTAGTTGTAGTAGTAGTTGTTGTAGTTGTAGTTGTAGTAGTAGTAGTAGTTGTTGTAGTTGTAGTAGTAGTTGTAGTTGTAGTAGTAGTTGTTGTAGTTGTAGTTGTAGTTGTAGTAGTAGTTGTAGTAGTAGTTGTAGTTGTAGTTGTAGTGGTGGTAGTAGTAGTTGTTATGGTAGTGGTAGTAGTTGTAGTAGTTGTTGTCGTAGTGGTGGTAGTAGTTGTGGCAGTAATGGTAGTATTAGTAGTTGTTGTGGTAGTAGTTGTAGTAGTGGTGGTGGTAGAAGTAGATGTAGTAGTGGCAGAGGTGGTAGTAGTAGTCGTAGTAGTAGTTATTAGTAGTCGTAGTAGTAGTTGTAGTAGATGTAGTGTTGATATCTCTCCTCTGATTGGACAGTATCTACAGTGTTATGGTTGCATCCACATCCATCCTGTGTTTTCCGTCTCTCTTGGATCTGGCCTCAGTCCTGCCACACACAGTACTTCAGCCTTTACAGTAGGATGCTGCGTGACTTCCTTGGACTGCCCTTGGAAAAACATCCACCTCAAATCAACGAAAAGTTAATTAACTAGCACGTTGATGGACAGCAGGTCTCTGTGGCTCAGTCCGTCCCAGGTCCAGAGCACAGTGCTGGGTCTGTTTGGTGAAGGGCAGCTGGTGTCAACGCGACCACTGTAGGATCGTGCCCAGAGCCGAACCCAAAACCTGGCTCCTGGGCCTCAGTCCTCCACTTCCTCTCCCAGGGGTATCCAAAAGACACTCTCGCCCAGACATTTTTGGCTGCAGCAGGAAGTTACAGATTGTGTGAAGTGAAGCCAAAATAGACTTGACAAAAGCCTGTAGGTCTAGCTTCTGTAGCAACACATTGGTTATTTCTGTAGCAACACATTGGTTATTTTATCCAGGGCAAAAGTTGACAATCTATGTAATTATAGAGACAGTAATTCCCACTTTTTCACCACATTAAAGCTTAGGGGTCGTCAATATGGTACAGTATTATTATGATTATTATGATTATTAACTATATTATTTATATTTTTATTTCAGACAAACATGACAAAAACAAAAAGGAACACACGAGAGGAAAACACACACACACACACACACACACACATACATATTACACAACTGTACATACATATACGTACAGCAAAAGTAATAAGTTCAATCTGACATGAGTTTCACTACACTGGGTAACAAAAAAATATTTTTTGAAAATAGTCCAGGGTATTCCAGCTGAATTAGACTAATGTTGATGCCCTGAGTCCAAAAATGACCTTGGTTTTGCTCAATCAGGTCAGGATTTTTTTCTACAGAAATATTTTTTTAAATCAATTTTGCGTAAAAAACAAATTTCTGCGGATCATCAGCTGAGAAACCCTTGACGATGTTTCCGTTTTCCTCAAGAAATAAAAGTCAACGTATCCAAAGTCATTCAGTTTTTATTTACTCCATCAAATTTGATAAGCAGAATTCATAATAACGTAGACGTACGTAATCCGTAACACTATGGCTGTATCTCAAAAAGTTGACCTGATAGAGCAAAATGCATGTGATATTCGGACTCAAAACACCAAAATTAGTCTAAATCAGTTAAGAAACCCTTGACCATTTTTTGGCTGTCAACTTGTGCTATTATTATCTGTTTTTGTTGTTTAGATTTACCCAAAACTGGACCACACACATTGTTAGACACATTGTTTTATATGTAACTATTTAACTTCTAATGATATGTTGGGTTAAAATGTTAAGACTAATTAAATTTGGTTGTTTTTGTGAGAAAATAGATGATGTAAAACATGCCTGGGTAGCTCATTACAATCAATGCTGCAAGTTAATAATAATAATTTAATATCATTTTAGGGGCCGCTAACATTTGTCTTGGGGCTGAATTTAGCACACGTCCAATGTTAGTTCTTTCCAGCTGCAGTTTCCCGTTTTATTGTGTCATTTTTTGGCTACTGGCTTCATTCATCATGATTCAGCAGGTTTGGCTCTAAATACACCTATGCCATCTGCACTGTGGGTATTTCTGTTTGACTTTATCCTTTAAAATCCAGCCCCTGACTTCCCGTCCGCTCGGCCTGTGTTTTAACAGGCGTTTGGTTTCAGCATGAGCCAGCACTAACCGCTGCTGGAAAACAAGTTGTGGTTGTCATTATAGAGCATGTGGAGCTTTTACGGAGCTTGGGTCATTTTCTTCTGCTGGTCGGGAGGTCAATTGTTGTCCGCTGAAGTCATGCTTTGGAATAATAAGTGGATTATGTAAGAATGCTTTGCTTTGCTACGACTTCCTTCAGTAGTCTGCAGTCGGAGAATGAATGGGAACATGTTTTTACCATTGTTTACGTGCATGCCAGTCTCACAGGAATTGTCTTTTGTGTTGTGTGTAGATAAGCCACATGGATGTATTTATTACTCTGGCTCTATCTAAATATACATTTGTTAGCACAGAGGCTTATTGTGGAATCAGCAGTGAACAATGAAATATGTTTGTGAATGAGGCCTGAACGACAATTCTGAGAAACTGTCTTAAAACCTAGGCTGTGCATAAAAACAAATACTTAGTTAATTACACACGTTATTATTGTGCTTTACTAACATGTGATGCTTTTTATTTAGAGACAGAAAAGGTAGAACATTCATTTGAAAACAACATTCATCCATGAATTTTCTTCTGCTTAATCCGTTGCCGGGTCACGGAGGCAGCAGTCTGAGCAAAGACATTGAGATTTCCCTATGTACACTTTCTCCAGCTCATCTGGCGTGTCCTGGGTGTTCCCCGAGTTTGCCTCCAGGCA